GGGGCTGGGCCGGGCTGCCCGCGGTGTCACGGGTGGGCCCGGTTAAGCCGCGGTGGTACGTGGCAGCGCGGGGGGTGACGGCCCCGGGGGGGTCGGGGCCCGCCGAGCGCGGCCGCCTCTCACACGGCACTGGCCTGGAGCACGGAGTCAGCACCGGCCCGGGAGAGCCAGCCCGGCAGGCCCAGTCACCTCCCGTCTGTTCCTTATTTCCAGGCATTTCCTCTCCCCCGTCCCACTTTGTTCGGCTTGGATGCTGCTGAAAGGGAGGGCTTGGCAGCGCCGGGATCTGGATTCCTCTTTCTATGAATAATGCCCTTATTAAATTTTAACATATTAAACAAACAGGCCAGTCCCAGCTCCTGACACTCTCCTTTGCAGAGCTGTTCCCAGGCTCAGCTGGAGAGGTAACATTCCCAAACACTGAGGCAGCCCCAGCCTCTGGATGGTCCCATTCCATCTCCTGCTCGAGCCAGGATGCTCCGGATGGATTTCCAAGCTCCCCTCACCCCTTCCAGACCTTGCTCCTGGCATGGCTTGCTCCACGGGAGCAACCCCACAGCTCCTGGCTGCTGCCCCGCGTGCCCCGGCTCTGTCTGGCCCTGCTGCTTGGCACAGTGTGCTGCGAAGCACGTTGGGGACAGGGAGGTTTCTAGACAAAATGGAGCACAATTTTTGGAGCTGCTGCTCAAGCTGGTGCCTCTGGACCACAGGATTACCCTCGCCTGCTCCGGAAGAAGGGCTGTGCTTCCAGTCACTGGTGGGGCTCAGCCCTCTGGGGCACTCGTGACTCGCTGCCTGTCCCAGGGTGCCGGCTCAGCCCTGACTCAGCTGCTGAGTCACCGTCTGTCTGGTGGCCCCCTGCTGTCTCTGTGGCTCGGGTTGCCCTGCTGCCCCTGGCAGGTGCCCATCCCAGGGGTGTCCAGTCCTGGCAGGCACCTCCCAGCCCCAGCTCCCTGTGCTGCTCCTCTGGGTCAGTCTTGGCTTGTGTGACCCCAGATGGGGACAGTGCTGGGCTCGGGGGAGCAGGGTTCATCCCAGGATGGGCTCTGCCCAGTTTTCTCTTCCCACACAACGTGGATCTGTCTCTTGCAGCCTGTGATCCCTGGCTTTCTTGCTTCTCTTCATTCTCCTTCTGGATGCTCTCTGAAGCTGACCGGCTTCTCAGCCAGCTCTATGTCTGTGGCCACACATGGAGATGGGACACCAGGTGCAGCCAGGACCTTCTCTGGCTACTGCAGATGCAGCAACCTCTGCCCAGGCTGTGCCCTCAGTGGAGACTTATTGGTGGAACGCCCTGCAGTGCCAGGTGCACCTGG